CGAGTGGACAGTTTTTCAGCGCTGGTGCGCAGAGAAAGGCATGGAGGCCATCTCATGGCCACTAGGTGGCATGCTGTCTTTTCTGCAGCAGCTGATGGACAGAGATCTAGCGTTCAGCACAATTAAAACTTATGCTGCAGCTATTTCTTCCTGTCACGAGGGCTTCGGTGACAAAACAGTTCTTAATCACCCGTTGATGAAGCGTTTCCTGAAAGGTGTACAGAGACACAGACCGGTGTCACGTCCACTAGCTCCACAATGAAACCTAATGATGGTCCTGCACGCTCTGATCAAAGCTCCTTCTGAGCCTTTAGATCAGGTTTCACTTTAATTTTCTGTCATTTAAAACAGCCCTGCTGTTAGTTCTGACGTCGGCAAAGAGAGTGAGTGATTATCTGCTCTCTCTGTTGCTCCCTCGTCTCAGAATTCAAGCTGACGGCAGTTCAGCTGTACTGCATTTTAACTCTGCTCTGAAAAGCATCACAAGCTCATTCAGATTGAGAATGATAACCTTGGGTGGGTTTTATCCTCTTCCTCATAATTCTGAGGAGGAAGCAACATCTCACCTCCTTCTGTCCCATGCGCGCATTTTTCATGTTACGTGGCACACACTGCCGCACTGCGCCGCTTTCAGCGTATGTTCATGCATTACTGGGACAGCTCTTCAGGACATCCTCTATCCACCCAGCGCCTCTCACACTGGTTGTATGAGGCTATTTCTGAAGCTTACAGTTCATCTGGACTGGATCCTCCAGAGAATCTCAGCACATTCAACCAGAGGGTTTTCATCCTTCATGGCTCTGCATGGAGGGATGACAGTGGAGGATATTTGTATGGCGGCTGCCGGGTCATTGCCATGTTCAAATTATTCATTTGTTATCTACGTGATGTTTCTACTTTCTCCATGACCCATTCTGTTATCAGGGTTCTGACAGTATGATTATTATTTGTTTCATGGAGCCTCACTTTTGAGCTCACACCTGCCTGCATGCAGTCACAGTGTGAGATATTTATTATCAGTCACAAGTTCATGACTGCTGATTTTATCATTATTAATCGTTCATCCTGAGGAGCTGTTGGTCTGCTCTGTTTATCGTTACACTGTTACAATTTGTATCCTCCGTTGTTCCAATTCACAGCAGCAGGTCTGCTATCTCAGCCTTTTTTTCCTCGCCAGAGATCTTTTTCCGGTGTGTTCCTACGCATGGAGCGTGTAATTATGTACACAGAAGGCTGACTGATGAATTTTTTTTTTGTGCAAGCAGGTGCTTCGTGTTGTGTCTGAGTGGACCCAGTGAGGCATAGACTACATCCTGCTTTGCCTAGCAGCCTGCTTCACCCACTAGCGACAACCTTAAAGGGCAAAGCCTATACGAAATAGGAGGATGGTTAAGTACTGTAACCCCATACTCTATGAGTATAGGTGCAGCCCTTTAAGCTCTGGGCCTCACTGGTTCCTAAATGGCTGAAGAAAAATGCTATTTGGGAGCCGATTACTCAGTCTCACCGTAATTTATACAGACTGGGTATGAGGCCCACACAGTAGGTGGGCATGGACTAAAGTTTTCAGTGCTGCGCTGCACGCGTAGTGATAAACCCACTAGCGACAGCCTTAAAGGGCTGCGCCTATACTCATATAATCTGGGGTTACAGTACATAACCAACGATTCATAGCTGGCTGTGATTATCGTACCCACCACTGCACCCTGTATTCACTGGTTAACTGGACATCATTAACTTTATGCAGACTCTCTCACTGGTACATTTTCATCTTTAAATCACTTCTTGGTCTGCTGCCTTCATACAGCTCCTCCTACATGTCTCAGCGTGAGTGCCGTTACAGCATGCACTCTCAGGACATTATTACCTGCAGTGTTCCCTCAGTGCGGACTGAACTAGGCAAAAGGGCCTTCTCCTACTCCGCTCCTGTTTCCTGGAATATCTTACAAAAAGATTTGAAGCTCTCGACCTTGACCTCTCTAAGTGGCTTTAAGAATCTGTTGGACTCCTGGGAGGGACCAATTCAGACATGTTCCTGTTTTTAGTTTTCTTCATTCGCCTTAGAATCTAGCTGTTTTTTGTTACTTTTCTTTTTTTAGCCATCCTATTCGTTAAAAAAATAAAATCTGTATGCCTTTTTATAACTGTCTATTGTTGTCGTTGTTGTCCATTGTTGTCATCATTCTTTGTTGAAATCAGGTCTCTCTTTTAAATGAGTCCTCGAGGCTCAATGGGATTTACCTGTCTAAATAAAGGTTGAATGAATGATTTCTTCCTGGGATGTGAAGCAGTGTTTGAGGTGTGCCTCCAAACAAGTCAGATGTTGTCAGCTAACCAATCAACATGTCCTGATGCTAATCCACAATCCAGGAAGATAAAAGAGTCAAAGAAAAACCCGTCCAGAGGAACTGACTCAACCGATCAACAAAGCTGCACCATCATCACCTTCAGCACTGATTCTTTAAAGGCACAGTAATGTTATTGGAAATAAACTTGGGACTTTGTGTAATGGTCAGCGGCCCCTGCTGACCCCCCCCCCCCCCCATTGGCCCCTGTCCCTCAAGCCATAGTTCCTCTAGTTCATCTTCTTCCCCTGCTTTGTAATACCTATCATCCATCTCCAGCTCAAGCCTACTCCTTCCAAGCCATGCCACGCCTCCCACAGCAATCAGCCCTGATTCCACTCACCTGCTTCAGCTCATCTAGTTCACCTGCTCTGCTTCCTTTATAAGCTCCATTCTCCCTCTCCACCAGCGTGAGAGACACCTTCCATGATCCCTGATTTTCAAGCCTTCACAGTTTCATGCCTAGACCTCAAGCCTTGCTCTCTGAATTATTGACCTCACGCCTGTTTCCTGGATTCTTCGCTTTGCCCATCCCTCTTTGGATTTTTGACATCACATCAGACCACAGTAAACAACTCTGCTTTCCCTCCATGACTACGATTACAGATTATGACTTGGCTCTAGTTTCTGCCCTGTTTCCCTGTGTTTGACCCCTGCTTTATCTGGACCCTGCTCTTGGACTTGTCCCTCCACGTACTGCAGCTACTCTGCTAGTGACGTCATTGTTGACAGTTGACTCTCTCCCTACAGCCTGTGAGGACTTGTTAACACTCCTGATCCTGACTTCAGCAACCAGCAGCAAAAATAAATAAAAACTGTTCTTTTTGTACTCCCGTGTCTGGCTTATTCTGAATCCAAAACCTGAATGTGACACTTTGAAGAAAGTTATAAACATTTCATAAAAAAAAAAAAAAATCTCATTATTTGGGCATTTAACACAGAAATAATTTTGGGAACCCTAACGAACCTAAAACAGGAACAAATTATTTTAATTGAATGTCAGACAGTGAGAGAGAACGGGTTCTGTTTTTTTTTTTTTGTTTTTTTTTTTTTTAACAGCCTAAGTAAATATCTGGGTTCATCTGTTTTTGTTTTTCTCAAACTGCTAAATAACTC